GACAGCGTATTGCATTAGGCAAATGTGGTGCACAAAAGCTTTTTAAAGTGTTGAAGAGCAGAGATGTCAGCTTGAGAACTAAGGTGTGCCTGATCCAAGCCATGGTATTTTCAATAACCTCATATGGATGCAAAAGCTGGACAGTGAATAAGGAAGATCATAGAAGAATTGATGTTTTTGAGTTATGGTGTTGGAGGAGAATATTGAAAGTTCCATGGGCTGTCAAAAGAACCAATAGATCTGTTCTGGAAGAAGTGCAGCCAGAGTGCTCCTTGGAGGCCAAGATGGCCAATCTTCATCTCTCATAGTTCAGACATATTGTCAGGAGGGACCAGTTGCTGGAGAAGGATATCATGTTTGGTATGGTGGAAGGTCAGAGAAAAAGAGGAAGACCCCTAACGAGATGGAATGGCCAACTGGCAGCATCGATGGACTCAAGCATGGCAACAGTAGTGAGGTTGGCTCAGGATTGGGTAGTGTTTTGTTCTGCTGTGCATAAGGTCCCTATGAGTTGGTACCAACTCGATTGCACCTAACAACAACAACGCTACCAGAGCTCCTTGGCTCCTACCTAAGGCTACACATTTCCCAGGTATTTTTATGACCAACCATCACCTTTTTTAACTCAAACATCATTTTAATGAGTCCTGACCTAGCTGTCTTACTTACAATTATGGACATCTTTCCAGTTCTAGCATTTCTTATCTTACCCTGCTCTACTGGTTTCATTTATTACTCCCACATCATGTCTATGGAGACAGGGACTCAGTAACAAGGTTGTTGCACTATTCAAATCATGAAGTAATGATTTTTACTTAATTAAGGAGTTAGAAGAAAAATGAAGAAGTGATTATGAATAGTTCAGTAGACATGAAGCTCTAAAATGAGCAAGCGTTATACACACAAGGTCATCAAATATAAATAATTAATTTTATAAACACATGTATATAGTGGTGCATATATCTATGTGGGTGCATATGAAGTTTATAGTTTTGGTGATAACATGAATGAATATTGCATATATAAAGTCAGTAGGGAAAACAACTGTGATGAGGGGAAACACTGGTTCAGTTTTAGATATTTAGGTGGAAATGTCTCTTTTTTATCTTGTATTAAATGTATTATGAACTAGATTTTTCATTTATCAGATAACTTTCTTATTTGGAAATTTTCCTCTAATTATTAACGATACAGTGGTTTCAGTATATGTTTCAAATTATTATCCCATTTTCTACATATTTATTAGTATGTGACATAATTAAACATATTTTTACCTCTTACACATTAAGAAACTGTAGTTTCAATTACACTTAATCATATGGATTAAATGTAAACCTATGGTGTGGGTGATGACAAAGACAAAGTACTTAACCACCTCTATATGAAGTCCCCTAGGACTTGGGTTAATTAATGAGACTCATCCTAAGGTTATACATGATCTATTACTTCCTCTAATTAGAAATAATAATCCTGATCATTATGCTGGTTAGCTGCAAAGAAGTAAGATGAATGTGCTTAACTATGATTAATAGTCTTCTTTAAGCAGTGTAGATCTCTTTTGTCACTGAGTTATATGCAAACTGGGCTGCAACTCAATGCTTTTTCATGATATATATATACTTTTTTTTTAAAGCTCAGAGATAAAATTAATTTTCTTGAAAATCTTTTTATCTTTCTTGAAAAAATGCAATCATTTTATTATTTTTCACGTGATTATCAAAACAAAAATATATATATTTCCTCCATTTTGTGTGAAATACTTAAGGCATCCAGGATAGCTACATTTGCTCCAAAAGGATTTATATATCCATTTGTATTTTGTTTCCATCCATTCTTATGTGGTGAAACAGACTGTTAAATATGATTTATATCAATTTTTAATGTTTTTTAAATATATGATTCACAGGGTGATTTAACTACCACTTATTTACTGTTATTTTGTTAAGGCTTTTATCTGTCCTTTACTGACTGAAAACCTTAGGTGGCATTTTTATAGCTCACAAAAAGTTATAAAATGTTATTATCTGGTTAAAGGTGAAGCACATCCACAAAGAAGCCTAATCATTTCTTGTCCCTAATGTTATTAATTTAGTTGTAACAAAGCTGAATATTTCATACTCAATTCTATATAGAAATAAAACAGAATTTATATTGTTATGTCAGTTTAAAGCCTTCAAAACACTTGGAACACACTGTTTAATATCAATTTGGATGCCTGGGTAAAGTCAGGTATGATTATCCAAATCTTAGGACATGAGAAGCTATAATTTTATTGCATACATGATTTTTAGCTCAAAGCCTGTGGCAATATGAAAGAGAATTTTATATGGAAAACCATAAAACAAGATGGTCAAAATTTTATCATACCTATTAAAACCTGTTAACCAAGCAAGGAAGGAGTGAGAAGAGTAAAAACTCCTGGGCTTTGAATAAAAAGTTTACCACTAACTGTCCTGCCTTAGGAATATTACTCTACTTCTGACTATCAATATGCTCAGTTTGTAAATGGTGATAATAATAATTGTGTTCATCTCATAAGCTGGAAAGGAACAAACAGTAAAAAAGGTATGTTGTGTTTTTGCTAAGTGTCATGAAGTTGATTCTGACTTATAGCAACCAAGCATAGGGTTTCTGAGCAGCAGCTAGTGAGTTTGAATCATCACCCTTACAGTTCAAAACGACCTACAACCTATCACTGAGCCTAAAATATACTATTTTATGCATGATATATGTTAGCCATACATGATGAAATATATTTGCCAAGTCATGTGTAGAAAAATATTAATATTAAAATTAGGTTTCACCTTTATCACTTGTATTGCAGAAATTTAGAGTAACTAAATATTTTAATTAATCTATACTTGCAATTGATATATTAAATTTACAAATGTTGATTTCTTAAAACAAAAATACAGAAGATCATTTAATTAGTTATTTTACTTTGGTATCAAAATTGTTGATACAGCTTATATTTGAGACTCAATATAATTGTTAAACACACAGATAAGATTTCCAATAAGCCTAGATCATAATTTAATCTTTTAATAATGAATTTAACTGTTTAACCAGAATAATACTTTAACTACACAAAATTTCATTAGTAATTTGACTTTAATAACGTGTAAAGCATATTCTGTTCAAAATGGATTTTATTATGTAAAAACTAAACAATAACATTGTTATTAGTACTTAATTTATTATTATTAAGTTTTCTATAAAATAATTAAGACAATTAACAAGCAATCATTTAGGCATCTACCACATGCTCTGTATTTTACTTACAAGCTGAGAAGTAAAGACATAATCAATAGTATCACATGAAAATAGTGAGAGAAGAAGAATATATGAAATTATGCACATTGAATATAGTTACATGACATATATCTTTGTGGGGTAAGTGGTTGGCAATTTTTCCTGGAGGACATGAATCTTGGAACACATTCTTAAGAAAAGTAACTGCTAATTGAAGAACAACAAAGGTAGAAAAACAGAAAATGAACTCTACAGTTTCATAGACAAACATAAGTCCATTTAATTAACTGCTTTAATGTTAGAATGAAATGTTGATGCAAATAAATACAATATGTACACACTACAAAATGCCTTAAAATGTAGATAGGATGAAATCCTTATCTTAATGTGAGAAAAAAAAGTAATACATTTTTGTTTTGTTTTTAAAATACCAAAAATGATTTTGAATTGTCTGTGTTTAAACAAGAAATACATTTAGGTTTTAGATTTTGAATGAATAGTTTAGAAGATATGGAAAAAACAAAACCTTATTGATTATTTATTTAGGAAGAACAGTAATCACATGAGTTCATTTCATTGTTTTTTAAAGACATTTCTTTTGCCACCAAAATATCTCTTCAAACTCATATATATACCTTTAAATAAGTATGCACACATGTATTTCATACATGTGTTTATTTAGCATTAACTTCGGAAAAAAACTTTCAGATTGATAAAAGACCTCCTACCAATTTGAGTTTAAATGGCAATAACGTCATAAATGATGAACCTAACTAGAATGTCACTCTGCCAATAAACTCGAAGACTGACATATTGATAAATTACTAAAGATCTTTTTGAAATAATCTGCAGAACTAATTTGTACATTAAGTACTTATATTGATAGCTGGACATATGTCTGTCTAAGTAGCATAAAAGTAACAAAATATGAAAGCTGCTGAAATTAGGATTTAAAACAAACATACCTGCAGACCTTGCCCATCCATAGTAACAGAGTTCGCTCTTTGCATTTTGCTCTTGTCGGTCACTTTGTTGGGTTGCTGAGCACTACCCTTTTCCTTTTTCACTGTTGCTTGTCTTTCCTGTAAGTAAGAGAAAACCTTTTACAAAAATGTTGAGTTCTTTTAATAACTCAACATTGTAAAGCAGCATTTAGAAGGCAAAGTTTTCGTGACTATAATCTTGGGTTCAATTTCTCTATTTGAAGTTTCTATTGAATAATATGTGGGAGAAAGATGAGATTAACTACTCCCATAAAACTGTATAGTGCAAGAAATTCTGAAAAAAAGGTCTGCTCAGTCCTATAAGGTCACTATAAATCAGAAATGACTTGATAGTCGTAGATAAAATGAATAATATAAGTATTGCTTCTTTTAACCAAGTTATTTGGCTCGTTACATAAAATGAAAATATTAGGCAAATAAATGATATAGGAGAAAAAGTAATTTTATTATGCATATGTGCCCAATTATGAATCTATTAAAAGTTATAAAATACTACCTACAACTATTTCTATTCAAAATACTACAGACAGATGTACCAGATTATATTTTAAAGGAATAACTACAAAGTACTAAAACAAGTGCTTATAAATGCAAGCAGTTTCATTCATTGAAAATAAATACTAAATTCCTGATGGAGTTTTAAGCTATGATTTATCAGGAATGGCACATAATTTTAAATTCATATTCCAACTCTACTAATTTCTCCTCTTTTGGGGGCTATTTGCTCCTGTTTCTCCTTCCACTCCTGTAACTACCTCATCTACGTAACCCAGTCTATTTATATAACCATAACTTCAACAAATCAGTTTTAATTAAAATTATTAATGACTCCTAATTGCCTCAGCTATTTGGCAATCTTCATCTTCTCAACTTTCCAGAAATATTTGACAAAATTGGCCTCCTTTTCTCTTTTAACACTTTTCTCATCTGATTTCCAGCACACTTCTTTCTCTTGCATCTCTTCTTATTTCGATGCTACCTCATAATTTCTTATTGCTTCTGTTTTCCAAAATGTAACCCTTGGCATCTTCCTTGGATCCCTAAGCTTCACTACATATGCTTGTTCCTTGGATTGTTATCTCAAGCCATTCCAAGGCTTTAACTTTCAATTTTAAAATGAGGTCTACTAAATTTATATCCACTGTTCAGACTTCTCCCCTGAACCTTGACTTCTACACACACACATACACAAAACAAGCAAGCAAACAAAAATAAGTCAATTGTCACTGAGTCCATTCTGACTTACAGCAGCCTGTTGTAGTGCTGCGAGATAATGTGCTAGACTGCAAGGCCAGTCTGAACCACAAGGTTTGCGGGTGAAACTCACCAGCCACTCCTTGGAAAACCTAGACAGGAATGCTATCAGTCAGAACCGACTCCATGGCACTTAGCAACAACAATAGGACAAACTAGAACAGCTTCTTAGGGTAAACCTTTAGAGGAGCAACAGCCTAATTTTTCTCCAGCCTACTCACAAAAGCCTTTTATATTTCTTCATATGAGTGTCTCAAACACATATGAAACTTAAAATACACAAAACTACATTTTAATTTCTGTTCTCACCTCTTCAAAGCAGGTTCTAAACAGAACTAGTTTTCACATTTTCCATCAATTTCAAGTTCAAACTACCTTCATGATTTTTGCCCATACTATTGCAATCATACCTAATTGATCAATATGCATACATCTTTGTCTCTCTACAATCAATTCTTTATAAACCAGCCATGAAAACATGATAAATGGTTGCCATCCCATTCAAACAAAATCCAAAGTATTTTCCTGACCTACAAGGAGCAACATAATCGGATGCCATTGTACTTCTGACCTCATCCATTATCATACTCATCCCTTTCACCCCATTCCAGCTGCAAAGTCTCCAAATTGTTCCATGATCACAAATGTGCTCTATATGACGGCTTTCCCAATCACTCTGCAGTCACCTGGAAAACTGTCCCCAGTATATTTGTGAGAGTCCCTCCTCACTTCAGGTCCTGATCAGATGTTAGAGAGACTTGTCTATTCCCTTTAACTTCCTTTTTTGTTTCATATTATTTCCTATTATTTGAAGTGCTATCTGTTTCATTTGTTTACTGCTGATAGCCTCCACTTTAATATAAATTCACTGCTCTGCATCCAATGCCTGATTGAATTCAGTATAAATAAGTAAATCTTAACTGTATAAAACCAATGGCTTTTGGTTCTTTGTTTAATGATTGCTCTATTGCTTGGGGGAGTACAGTGGCTCTGTAGGATAAGCACTGGTCTGCCAACCATAATGCAGTGATTCAATCACACCAGGCTCTTTGTGGGCAAAGCATATTGCTTTCTGCTCCGGCAAACATTTATAACCTTGGAAACTTTATTTAGAATTCCTGTAAGTTGGAACCAACTGGACAGCACTTGCCAACACCAACATATTTTGTTGATGGATTCATGGGCCCAGTCAAGGTTGAGTAGGGGGAAAATACCTGTTCT